ATATGTAGAAGCGTTACTGTTTCATTATGCAGTTGAAACTTATATGGTTTCATCATTCAGCACGATTAGATTCGCTAGATTCAACATGTTTCTGGAGAAGGGACTCTCAACTCGAAAGAAATGTTAGTCACCGGACTTTTAAATATGCCTAACTTTTATTAAAAGGATAGAAAAGAGTATATCTAATTATACATAATACTAGTATTATTCGTTTGTTTCAAAGAAGATAATATGTTCGTCCTGTTTCGGGAGCTCAATGGTTAGAGCACTGATCTAGATCACCAGTAATTTAGAGTTGCATTCGATTCCTAATTGAAGCATATATTTTTTTCTTATTTGTTTGATCATCGATTGGATGCACTAGTTGAAAAATATTCTTTTAGGTACGGATCTTGCCTTATCAGAGATAGAAATCGCTATAGTCTTGGGCTCTTTTTGATCAATATCTGCAGAAAATCTGACACATATTACTGTTTAAGATCATATCGCTTAAAAATAGAGTTTGATGGAAACTGGAAATAATAAATGTTTACCTTGTTGAAGCATGGAATGAGCGTGTGGGCATTCGTTTTCACTATTGATCATTACTGTCACATTAAGCCCTAATATTGGATTCCGCTTGCTATAGAGCAAATAATAGATAGGGATCGTATCTTCTTTTTCTGTATAAGATTTCATGATGACGATTGATGCTACATGTTCTTCATCATATGTAAACTCAAACGTTTTGGGTAGTCCACTAAGAAGGTGCTGTTCGCGTGGGATCAAATCGAAACTATCATTATGCACGTCAAAGTGTTGCACGACAGAAGCCACGATTGATGGTAAAGAATATGCTTCAAGTTTAAAGAATAATGATTGTTTAGAAAATTGACACATGTCACCATAGAAGTGATCGGTGCATAGGCACTCAAAAGGACGCATATGTGAAGGATCATAGGTGAATAGGCACGTTCCCCCATTCTGACAAAAACGACATGACGAATAGGTCAGATGGCATGTGGGTCCAAAATGACCTAAAGGACAAAGACACACCGGTCGATCATCACCATTGATAATACCACGTTCTCGAGGCCGACAAATAGCATTGCGAATGCAGAAATTGTCGCATTGTTCATCGAAATATTGGCACTGATCGCCAAACCAACCATTGATACATACACACACGTATTTGCTTCGATCATTTTCAATCCGACGGCACTGACCATGATGACCACATGGAATCGAGCAAATGCTACTATTGCTTTGTAGATGAGCGAAACGGAGAATTTTTGCGAAACGGTGGGCCGGTAAAAAGTCAAAAGTGATTCTATAATGCCAGATGGTGAGTAATTCAATAGAGTGATTTGCTTGTTGTGTCAACTCATACGCCTCGAAACGAATTGAGTAGAGCTGAGTGTTATTGCGAAATGTACGCCTTCGCGTGAGAAATTCTGGCATACGGGGATAGACAAAGTAAAATTTTTGTTTGACTAGGTGTCGATCTTCCGGTCGTATATGGAAATTATGGCGATCGATAATAGTCTGTCCATTAAAAATAAATTTAGCGACCACAAGAATAACTGAACTCGACTGCATCGAAGGATATGCATAAGTCAAATTAAGATGTGTAAGTATAGACACTCGGTCAGCCTGATATTCGCATCGATCACCAAAATGACTCGGCGGACATAAGCATCGTGTATTTGTAAGCATCACGCCCATCTTTATTGGAAAGCCAGCGTTACATACGTAAGGAAGATAACCGAAACGTAAGAGTTTCGGATCCTCAATCATTTTTTCGAGGCGCAGCTGAATAAGTTGCTCATCATCCAACATGGTGTTAGTCGTTTTGGAAGTTGCAAAGTCTATGCGAAATTTATAATCATTAGGATTCTCTTCAGTTACTGGTTGTATAAATGCTGAGAATGTATTTTTGACTACGGAAAAATAAACACTTCGTTGATGCTTGATTTGTTCGTTTGAAAGTCGCTTGGCTGCCCGATATCTCATCGAGTACCTATCATCACCAAAATAACACCAATATTCGTCTTCACCATGCTCACACTCATGTCGTCCATTGCAACGAGCACCAGATTTGCACGTACCGTCAAAACATCGAACGTCATTGACTTTATCGCAACTATTCATTGTTTCAACTTCTCTTTTAAAGAAGCATACATTCTGATCTTCCTTGTTATCGCAGGTAACACTACTAGAACATAGGATAGGATAACCGATGCAGTTTTGTCTTCCGAAACACAAAAAGCCATGACCAAGAATGTTCCATGATGAGCCATCGCATTTTATGAGGTTTCGTTCATCTGACGCACCCAAACAGTCGACGACGCCGTCCCCAATACTTTCAAGACGAATACAGGGCCGATTTATAGTAAAATTGAAAAGATCTGTACTTCGACTGTTGAGCAAACATGGATACTCTTTTGTGATGTTACAAATATTAGCAAATGCTTGATTTTTATACTTATCGAAGCATTGAGTCCACGTATCATGAAAATTAAGCGTGCGAGAATTGTGTTCGTCAAGAAATCGACCTTTGAGTGCGAGTATGCCTTGTTCATCGGATGCGTCCGGACAATCCCAATCCCCTGCGAAAAACCATGAAGATCGAATATATATATGATAGTATCATAGTGAACAATCAACAATACCAAAAAATAGAGCGCTTTTCTTATCTAATTCACTATTATATCGATAAAAATTAAACATAACACTTTATTCACTATTAAAAATATTGCTTACTAAGCTTTCTATGAACTTTTATGACTGAAGCCCCATGAAATTATACGAAGTCACCTAGAATCAAGGGAAAAACAGGAGACTTCACAGCTGAAGTCTAAGTCTTTTCTTCCTTGTCTCAAATACTTGAGAATGCAATATTAAAGAATAAAAAGCTATTGCACGTTATTCTGTTATCGATCATAAGACGAGGTAGTAAAAATAAAAAAATTTAATTGATAATTGGAAACTTTATTGCTTTTTGTTTCTGTGGACTTATTTTGTATCACAGCTAATTGTAACTGTAAAATGAAAGCGTCATAACTTTCCATACTGATCAAGTCTACATACACGGTGTCCCATAAACAGAGTGGCCAGATCTTCCGATTTGGCAGGAAAAATTCCGATTTTTGAAGTTTTTTCCGATGACTTTCCGACCTTCCAATTTCTTCCGATTTTCGAACTTTTTCCGATTACTTTCTGATTTTTGATTTTTTCCTGATTTTTGGGATTTTTTTTCTACATTCAATCTCTTTTAGGTATCTAACAAAAATTTGACTATAATCAGGATCGCTAGATCCCCTATTTAGAAGGAAAAGTTTAGATTTTTGAATATTTCTCTAATCACTTCATGGCTTTTTTGGTTGTTTCTGACTTTTCAATTTTTTTCTGATTTTGTTTCAATTTTGTTCTTTTGTTTGAGTATTTTGAAATGTACATGGTGATCCAAAAGTCACTTCACCGAAGAAAAAAATTGAAAATCTTCGCTATATTTTGATTAAATGAACTAATTCTTTCATTAGTGATAAAGGAGTGTTCACAGGTCATATTAATAAGGAAAACACTGACAAACGCTGCTTCAAAGTATCATCGTTAACTTCAATCAAAAGCTATAACGTTTCGAACTATAAAAGAATTATATCAGTTTTCTCAACAAATTCTTAATGTTTATAATAAAAACTTTCAGGATACAATGAATAAAAAGATATGTGTCTCTTGTATAAATCCCCATCAAACGACAATATCGAACATTAATAGAAAAAATGATGTATAGTTTACTTTTTGCCAAAGTAACGATTACTTTGTTTTTTTCATAACTCGTAAAAGATTCCAGTTCTTTTTTGAAGTCAATGATGATATTTTAAAGCAGTATTTGTCAATGTCTCTTATAAATATAATCTAGGGACATTTTATTATTAGTGATAAAACAATCAGCTTACATTCTCAAAATATGATGGAGATACTCATTTTTTTTCTTCAGCAAAGTGATCTTTGGTCCATACTGTATGCATGTAGTTTATCTTTTGCTTCTTTTTTTTTTCGTGAAATTTGTTCAGAGTCTGTCGGAAAAAGAATACTGTCAAACTAAATAGCTTTCGTGAGTTGTTCATACGAATGAACTGTATATTTATGTGGTTCTTATGATGTAGTTTTCTTTATCGTGAAATACTTTTTAAGATGATGTACATAAATGAACACAGATAGAATAAAACATTTTGTTAGTAGAAAAACATATCATAGATTTGTTCTCGAAAAAATAATTTTCCGATTTTTTTCCGATTTCGGAGAAAAAATTTTCTGATCTTTTCCGATTTTGACAAAAAAAATTCCGACTTTTAAATTTTTCATCTGGCAACCCTGCCCATAAATAACTTGGTGATAAGAAATTTAAATATCCCCGCAAGATGTTGACCAAACAAGCTGAAATTTTTATCAGTAATAGAGGCTTACTTAAGGTTTTTTTCATAAGAGAAACATCAACAAATACTGTTCCTAGCTAGGAAGATCAACATCAATAAACATTTTTGACTTGTTACAGTCTCTAAAAAAATGTTAGAGGATGACCTATACCCATTTCTATGACTGTTTTTCTAGGTGTGACATGAGAAGATCAAAACA